CCAAAGCACGAGCTGAGCTATCTCTCCTGTCCTGTGAGTTCTATTTTAAGGACAATTTGGAGTATGGGCCGAAGAGTCCAGCGGGTAGGGCTCTTGCCTTGCCCAGTGGACTCGGTTTGATTTGCAACTTCCGCTGCTACCCTGAGCACCACCAGCAGTCATTCTTGAGCACTGAGCCAGGAGCAAGTCTGGGCACTGCTAGGTATGGCCCCAAAATGGGGGAAAATTTTTTTTGTTTACAGAAATAAGGGATCTTTGTTTTTTGGTTGAGGGCCAGGGCTGGTGGTGCTCAAGGCTTCCTCCTGGAGCACTTCTTGTAATGATTGAGGGACCATATGGGATGCTGAGGATCAAACCTGGGTTGGCTGTGTGCAAGGCAATCACCTTACCTACTGGATTGGTACTGGCAGAGTACTGGTACTGTACTCTCTCTAGTTTTGGGAAGGGATTTTGTTTTTTTGGCCTTTATGGGTCACACCTGGTGATGCACAGGGGTTACTCCTGGCTCTGCACTCAGGACTTACTCCTGGCGGTGCTCAGGGGACCATATGGGATGCTGGGAATCGAACCTGGGTCGGCCGCGTGCAAGGCAAACGCCCTCGCCGCTGTGCTATTATCGCTCCAGCCCCTGAAAGGGATTTTTAGAAAAATAATTGGGGGATGGGGGCAGAGTGATATGCAGGGGGGAGAGCATGTTCCTTGCATGCAACCGACCTGGGCTTGATCCCCGAGCACTGCCAGGAGAAATTCCTGAGTGCAGAGCCAGGAGTAAGCCCTGAGCATCACCGGGTGTGAACCAAAAATGCAAACTCTTTCTTCTTTTCAATGTCTTTTTTTGGTTTGGGGGCCACACCTGGCAATGCTTAAGGGTCACTCCTGGCTCTGCACGCAGGAATTACTCCCGGCAGGTTCAGGGACACAAGGAGTGCAAAAACCAAACCTGGTCAGCCACAAGCAGGGCAAGCACCCTCCCCGCGCGGTCCTGTAGCTCCGGGTCTCTTCCTCGTCTGCAGGCATCCCCAAGGCTCCACCTAGTGTCCCCGAGCAGACATGCGGCTCCGGGAAGCAAAATTCTTCCCAGGTCTCCCGATTCCTCTCCGTGGTGCGGCTTCCTGCTGCAGTCTGGCCAGTGAGCGCCTCATACCCCTCCCCCGTCGCGTCAGAGGGTCGACCCCCTCGCGTCCCCTCTCCCCCGCCTCTGAATTCCCACCGCGGGCAGATCTGGCCAGCGACTGCTTTCCTGACAGTGTTCGGGAAGGGGAAATAGCTGGGAGAGGACCTGTGGATTGTGACCTGCAGGAAAGACACGGAGGCCACTTCCTGGAGTGCGGACTGAGCCAACGTCCCCCACACCCCCACAGGGGTGCCCCTCGCTGGGCTGGGCAGGATCTTGGGGCGAGCACCCACCCCAACCCTCAAGAGTTTTTCCACGAGTGTCTGTGTACCCCAGTGAGGCCCTGGTTAGCACTTTCCGCTGCCAGGGAACCACGGGGGCTGCCTTTCCTCTTGCAGGATTTTCTTACTCTAGCAACTGACTTTGATGCTCTGCACATGCTGGTGACCCAGGAGGGAACGGCCAGGCCCAGACATACGGGAGCCCTGGGGCCTGGTCTCCCGGCGCCGTGGAAAGGCCTAGGCCCAGGATCTGGGGACAGACGTGTTCTGGCTGGCACGCTGAGGGCTCTCGGGCTGCAGCGAGGCTCTCGGGGGGGCATTTCAGGAGGAAGCAGCTTCTGGGTTGGCAGCCAAAGGAGCGACAGGCTTGATGTTTGGTTTTTGGACCATACTCAGCAGTCTCCAGGGGCTACTCTGGGATCTGTGCTCAGAGATCACCCATGGCAGTGCTTGGGGGACCACATGGGGTGCTGGGGACTGAACCCAGGTCAGCCACGTGTGAGTGAAACACCCTGCTCTCTGGACCACGCCCCCATCCCTTATGTGTCTTGGGCTCGGTCCTGGCTCTGTTCTCGGGGATCAGGCCTGGTGGGGTGGGGAGCCGTTCTGGGATGCTGGGGAACAAACCCGGGTCGGCTTCTGTGCTATTGCTCTGGCCCTTCATTTTACACTTGTGGCCCCGATAACCTGCAGATGTCACTTGGCTGTTTTTGTCTGGGGGCCCCACCCAGTGGTGTTTGAGGCAGTCGGGTCTCCTGCATGCAGAGCACTGCCTGGGCCCACCTCGCAGGCCTCTCGGGGCCTTCTCCAGCCTCCCCCACTCTGGAACCGAACTCCCATGGCAGAGTGCGCTTAAGAGCCCCCGGCCCGGGCGTTCCAGTCCGTCCTTCACGCCCTACCGAGGTCACCAGTCACCCCCCGCGAGCGGCTCTCCAGCACGGCCATGGCCCCAGAAGCACAAGGACTTAATGCAGAACCCGGCAGCTTGGAGCAGAAAAGTGAACGGACTATGCGTTGATCCAGGCCATCAAGTCTGCCGGAGGGGAAAGGGTGTTGCCCCATTCGCCCTCTCCTCTCTGGAAAGAAAGATGGCGGCCACATGGGAGCCTTGTGGACAGCAGGTATGAGCCGGGGGAGCGGGGGCGACTAAAACCTCATGGGAAGGGGGGCGTTTCGCTCCGCCCTTCACGCCCTACTGAGGCCACCAGTTGCCCCCCGCGAGCGGCTCTCCAGCACGGCCACGACTCCAGAACACAGAAACCAATTTCTTAACTATCTGACTTTCAGTAGAAATACTTCCAGGGTCAATAAGTAAAATAGCAGAAATCCAAAACCAACATTTAATTCTTGAACCCAGCTGTAGAAAGCAAATCACTTCACAATGCTTTTTCAGCATGTCTGATTTGGGGGGGGGGGGTAAACTCTAAATAATAGTGGTGAATCTTTTATTGAAACAATGAATCTAATCAAAGCAGATAGAGTGTTAACTAGAATTCATCTGCCTCACAGGGACTGGGAGGGGTGGGGGGTGGGGTTTTATTGGGGTTCTTCATGGTAAAAAATAAGTATTGGTAAAGGGAAATGTGTTTGATATTTGCATGACTGAGACATAAACCTGAAAGCTTTGTAACCTTTCCCACAGTGATTCAATAAATAAATAAAAAAGAGCCCCCGGCCCAGGACAGTGTCTCATCTCCCGGGCATCTGAGCACACCAGAGCTTCCTCCGGGACACTGGCCCAGAGTCGCTCGCCAAGAGCAAAGTGCTTCTGCCTTAGGCCCATCCGAGTACCCTCAAGGGCACCACTGCCCCCCTCGACAGAGCTTCATTTCCACAGAACCCGAGTCCAGGAAACCACAGCTGGACCCCAGGTTTGGCTGAGAGCGCAGGTCAGTGGCCACGGCTCCAATCCCCAGCCCCACAGATGGTTCCTTAGGCACCAAGTCTCCAAGAACAAGTCCAGCCCAGGAGATGGCGGGCCGGTGGCAGGTGGGACCAGCAGAGCCAAGCACAGTGCCACGCTCGGGAAGCTGACCGACTCACAAACCACAGCCCCTCACGGCCTCCTCCGGGCAAACAGCCTAACCAGCAGTATGGGGGTGGGGGTGGGGGTATCTGAAATCTGAAGGACTGCCCACGTCCACTCAGGCCCGCTCTGCTTCCCTCCCTTTCAATCCTGGCGCCACCACCGCCCGGGACACTCATCTTCCGAGTCTGTTTCATCTCCCACAAAACAAGAATGCCCACACCAGCAGGGCGTTGGGGGAAGGCCAAGGTGCCTCCCCCAAGGCCAGCACGGGCCAGAGGCTGACGGCAGAGAGGGGCAGAGAGGCCTCGGCGAGGAGGCTGCAAAGGCTGGCCTTGGGCTCTGCACATAGGGGCGGGATGTGGTGCTTGACTCCAGGGATGCCCAGCACCAGCAGGAGAGAGCAGAGGGACACATTCTTTTTTATTTCTTAAAAAAGAAAAGAAATAGCAGAAAGGGAAAACAAAGGTGAGAAAACACCGAGACACGCTCCTTCTGGCTAAAATGAAAACCGGGTGAGGGACACCAGACACGGCACGGCACCCAGAGTCGCCCCCACATACTCAAGTGGGGGGCTGGGTCTCCACGCCGGCCTCCGGCCAGCGGCCCATGTTCCTTCCCAGAGCTGGGGACGGAGAAAGAAACTTCAGCTCGACGCCAGCTCAAGCCTCTGAGGCGGCCAGAACGCAGGGCCCGTCGCAACGTACGAGCTCCACAGGGGTAGGTGAGGGGGACATGCCCGAAACCTCTCCAGAGCCAACCAGACTCGGGCCCCCACAAGGGCTGCCATCCCCTGCCAAGCTTCTCAGAGGCACGCACGTCATGTTAGGGGCTGTGACTGTTAGAGGGGCTGGTTCGGCCTCCCCGAGAAGATTGTGTGAGTGAGCGAGTGTGTGTGTTGGATGTGTGCGCGCTTATGCGTGCCTGTGCCCACCGAGTGCCACGGGACATACTCCAACCTGCACAGCGTTGAAACCAAAGCTCTTCACTCTGAGACACCCATGCTCACTGCCACTGCAAGAGGGACAAGGACAAGGGTCACCTGACCTCAGCTGGAGCACCAGTAGCTCTGGGAGGCAGCCTGGCCCGTCCTCTGCTGAGCTCACAGACTCGCCGACCAGCTGGTACTCCAGGCCCTGTGGACCAGCCGGGAAGGGCGTCTTGGCCCACCTGCTGACCACAGGACCTTTTTTGCCAGAGACTGCGAAAAGGAGGGAACCACGGGCTGGTCACTGAGGAGTCTGCTCTGGACGTGAGGTGGGATGGCGAGTTCCCAGGGCGAGCGCGGAGAAGGGACTGGACACCATCCTAGTGCTGAGGTCCCACTGGCTGCCTGGGTGAAAACAAGTGGGCACCGCCTTGCTCGGCCACCTAGAGCTGTGGCACCAGCCTGACAGCCGAGGTCAGAGACACAGACGGGTGCATAGGAGCGCCAAGGGACTGCTCACGCAGGGACGATCTCGGTCAAGCTCCCGACCGGCCCAAGCCCCACCTGCGGGCGCACGTCTGCTCCACGGGACCCCACAGGGAGGCAACAGCGCACTCAAGCCTACCTAAGTGAGGCTTTATTATACACGTTCCGGAAACCAAGGGGACAGGAACTGGGGGCTCGTGCCAGGGCTCTGGGGCCCAGCAGGGAGGACGCAGGCTGCTCCGGTTCTGGGCTGACAGCGCAGACGCCTGCCACCCCCACGAGGGTCTCGGGCAGATGCTGGCAGGTCCACCCCGACATCTCCACGGAGGCCGAGGACAGCGCTGCAGCGGGGAGGCGGCCGGCCGGGCTCAGGCGGACACGTAGGGCGGGGGTGGCTCCTTGGCAGCACCACCGACACTGGCATCGTCATAGGGGGGAAGCAGCACCTGGGGGCAGAGAGACCGGGTCAGTGAGCGCTGTGCCCGCGCCCGCCCGCCCGCACGAGGCCGCAGCGAGTTGGCCAGCGCAGACTCGAGCCCCGAGGCCCTGGCAGCAGGGGCACAGACAGAACCGCCCACCCCAGCGGCCCCGGGGCACGTGCCCAGAGGAGTGGCGTCACAGGGCTCCAGCGTGTCCACCCCAGGGCTGGGCGCACTGCCCAACACAACACCCCGCGTTACCAGGGAGACGGGATTCCCTGAAGCCACATCAGCGGGCAGGAGAGAGAAACTCCAGTAAAGGTCACGAAATTTGACGTCACCGGGTGGGAATCATTCCAAATGGTCAAAAGTCCAAGAGTTGTCTCATATTTGGGCAACCGGACTCATTCAGGCATCTCTGCAAGGTGCTCCCAAGGACAGCCCAGGACCACCGAGCTGCCTGGCTAGCCAGGGCCCTTCCCGCCGGGTGCTCAGCCAGATGGCCTGTCCGCAATTCTGCAGTTGCCAAGACTGCGTTCCCCGAAGAATCCGAGGTGAGCTACGTCAACGTTCTCACACACTCTGGAACGCCGCTCCCAGACTCTGCAGTTACTTGTCTGGAGAAGTTCTCGACGGGTTCTAAAACACACTCAACTCCAAGGAGCCAGGAGTGGGGACACGGGGCGGAGACGTGCCCTGCGTGCCTGAGCCTTGGGCTCCAGCCCCACCACCACATCATTCCAAATGGTCAAAAATCATTTGGGATTGTCTGTCTCCCAGGGGAGAATCGTCTCTGGGCTGGACGGCGGGGACACGCAGGAGGACTGGGGCCCTCACCCACAGACACACCAGAAATCCTCAGGAATCTGGTAAAGTCAAAGTAAAACAAAAGGGGCTAGAGTGAGAGCACGGCGGGGAGGGCGTTTGCCTCACACACGGCCAACCCAGGTTCGATCCCCGGCATCCCGAGGGCCCCCCGAGCACTGCCAGGAGTGATTCCTGAGTGTACAGCCAGGAGGAAGCCCTAAGCATCGCCAGATGGGACCCCCCCCAAAAAAAAATCAGAAAAGAGCAAGCGCCACAGTTGGAATTGGTCCAGGGCACCCCAACGCCCAAGTAAAGGTGTCGCGTAGGACACCCCAGGGTGTCCCAGGAAGCAAGGATGTCCCTCAACAGTGGGCCCCCCGGAACCCGCTCCCTCCCAGGTGCTCTTCTGCCGCGGGGCTCCTCTGCTGCTGGCTCTCCACCCCGGCCAGAAGCGCTCAGCCCCGCGGGACCCCTCCCAAACCCCCTCTCCCATGCCAGCTCTAGGAATCTGAGCACGAACACGGCTCTGTCCTTTCTAGAATCACAAGGTCACCGCTGGAACGGCAGTCGCCAGTCTGGCCCCTGTCAGCTCTGTTTGTGTTCTCATCTTTGATCTCTGTCTCGACTTACTTTTTTTAGGTTTTGCTGGGGATGGAGTCTGGGCCCGCAGCTTGCAGGCCATGTCCTACCCGCTGTCCTATCTCTTGGGCCCCCTCTCAATGCTGTTGCAGGGAGGCCTGGGGAACTGCAGCCCTAGACGAGTGAGCTCGGGGTTCACATGGCAGCCGGGGCGCAGGGGGCTGGGCGGGAGACGGAGGCAAGGCCCGACATAGGGCGGCCACAGGGTGCAGCCGGGAGAGTGCAGCTGGGTGGGGGTGTCCTGGGCAGCTAAACACATGGGTGGGGGGTCTACAGCAGGCGGGGCTGGAAAGGAGCTTGGAAAGCAGCTGAGCCCCGGCTGGCCCTGGGAACAAGGCGGGGGTGGGAGGGTGGGAAGAGCTGCTGGCCCCGGGGCTGGGGACAGACTCTGGGGCGTCTGTCTCTGGGCGTCTGTCTCTGCGAGGAAGCCAACTACCGCCTCAAGCTGGAAAGTCAGGGAAATCCCACCGGAAAGGAGAGCTTCCTTTTCATTCTACACCGGGGGCGTGGGGGGCACGGCGGGGCACAACAGGGCAGCACACTGGCAGCAGCTCCCCGCAGCTGTGTCCCAAATGAGCCGGACGTGGCACTGGGCTCGACCAAGTTAGATGTCCAACCCTCTTTTCTCGCTCCAAGACAATAGCTGAACGCCAAAGAGCTGAAGCGGCTGTTTCTGCGAGGATAATCACCAATCTGTTCTAATTGACTCCGGTGGAAAAATCCTAACAACCGGCAAACGATTCAAAACACGTCCCACTGGTCACACAACTGCTGCCACCGAGACACCAGAAGGGATGACGGCCTGGTAAGAAAGGCGGGACGGAGCGGGAGCCATAGCTCAGTTGGGGAGGGCGCTGACCCTTGCACATGGCCGTCCCGGGTTCGATCCCCGGCACCCCGTAGGGTTCAGAGCCAGGAGTGACTCTGAACACTGCTGGGTGTTGGCCCAAAAAGCAAACGAACAAATGCACTGTCAGGATCTGACTGTGCGGCTCTGGCTGGTGGGAGAGTTGGGAACAGGCCCGAAACACAGGCCGCTCTTCTCGGCTCACGGTTTCCTCAGAGCACACGGACCACAGACAGTCACGCTGCCCCAACAGGCCTCTTCCCATTAGTTTCTTGGCTTTTTTTTTTGGGTCACACCCAGTGATGCTCAGGGGTTATTCCTGGCTCTGCACTCAGGAATTACTCCTGACGGTGCTTGGGGGACCATATGAGATGCCGGGGATCGAACCCAGGTTGGCCGCATGCAAGGCAAATGCCCTACCCGCTGTGCTATCATTCCAGCCCCAGTTTCTTGGATTTTTTTTTTCAAAAGAAAATCGTGAGGGCAGAAGAGAAGTATGGTGGAAGCTGTCTGCCCTGTTTCCAGCTGACCCCGGCCGGCTCAAACCCCCAGCACCAGCACGGCCAGGGGTCGCTCCTGAGCACAGAACCTCGAATACTCCAGGAGCAAGAAGGACGTGTCCCTCCCAAAGGCTTTCAAAGGGCTGGAGTCCCTGCACAGTCCTGGGGCAGACCCACACACACGTGGGAGCAGCCCCAGGGCCGGGCCAGGAACAGAGCCCCAGGCAGCGCCAGGTGTGCTTCAAACAGCAAAACCTGCCAGAAAGCTGAGCCTGGGGCAGCTGACGAGCCCCTTTAGTACAGGGTGGACAGTGAGCGCGGCCAAGTTATGAAACAGTACGGTCAGACCACAGACTATTCTATAGCTGGAATTACGAACGACAGCTTCCTGGGACCGTTCCTATGTCAAAAACGGGGTCAAGTGAGGACAACGAGGCAGCTAATGCAGCCGGGTCCCGAGCACTGGCCCGCGAGCCCACAGCAGCCACATCAGCGCCATCACACCTACCGTTGTGTCATTGCTGGTCACGTAAACCAGGACATCAGAGTTGTTGCGCCCGTTGATATACCGATAGCAGTTCCAGACACAGCTGATCAGGTAAACCTGAAAGTGCAGAGGCGGGATCAGGAACTTAATGCCAATGAAAAGCACAACACGGAACTTTTACACGCATCCCCGTCGATACGTGCATTAGCCAAAAAGCCTTTAAAAGAGGAGAAAAATCACAGCACTGGAGACAGGACTCTCTGATAAAGGCTTCTCCTGGGGTGGCCTTATTCTACCAACTTTCCCCAAACTGACCACCCCAGGGGGCACTGGAACAATTCTGGAACCACTGAGTCGTTTCTTTTTTTCTGAAACACAGGTAACTGCAGAAGCGCAGAGGCCCGTGTCACCTCTTGAGAGGGGGACTTCACACTTTGGGGGCGTCTCTGCTTTCCTCCCTTTAGAGAAGCCTCAATCTCTGGACTTTTCCTCTTCCTTTACTCCTGGAATAAACCTTTTTTTTTTCTTCTTCTTTTAAAGTAGGGCTGGAGCGATAGCACAGCGGTAGGGCATTTGCCTTGCACGCAGCCAACATGGCCGACCCGAGTTCGATTCCTCCACCCCTCTCGGAGAGCCCGGCAAGCTACCGAGAGTATTCGATATGCCAGACACAGTAACAACAAAGTCTCCAATGGAGACGTTACTGGGCCCCGCTCGAGCAAATCGATGAACAACGGGAGGACCGTGACCGTGACCGTTCTTTTAAAGTCAAACCCTCATCCTTACCTTGAAAGTCAAGATGATGCTGATGAACAGGAGAATAACAAAGACCAAGCAAGCAGGATTCACTGACATGATATCATCTTTGTAGGGGAAACTGGGAGGCTGCAAAGGACAAGCGTCTCGTTAGCCAACCTCACGCATCACGCAGGACTGTCCTCCGCTGGGCCAGGCGTGCGGTCAGAAGCAGCTCAAGCAGTGCCCTCTAAATAAGAGCCACAAGGGGCTACTGCGCCCTCCAGGGAGGCCCAAAACTCAATAAAAAAGGAACAAAAGAAGACTACAAAACTTCTAGCCTCGGAGAGACGGCACAGTGGAGAGGGCGTTTGCCTTGCGTGCAGCTAACCCGGGTTCGATCCCCAGAATCCCCCAGGAGTAATTCCCGAGTGGGGAGCCAGGAGTGACCCTGAGCACTGCCAGGTTTGACCGCACCCGGCCTGGCCAAAAAAAAAAAAAAAAAACAAACAAACAAAAAAAAAAAACTTAAAAAAAAAAAACTTAAAAAAAACTTCTAGCCTTTTCTCCCAGGGAAAAAGTAAAACCTGTGTGAGGCCGGAGCTGATCGGCTCACATTCCCAGCGACCACTCTCGAAAGCGCTAAACCACGGGCCGGGGATGTGGCTCGGGCACCGAGAAAGGAGAAAGCCGGGCCGGGTCCGAGTCCAGAAGTTGCAGCCCCTGCTCTGCACTGCGCTCCTCGGGCTCACTCCCGGGGGACACAGAAGGCCCCCAGCGCCACACACACCCTGCTGTTCCCCAAAACCAACCAACGAAACGACAAAGAAAAGAGAAAACCAGAGATTTGTGCGTGACCCCCGAAAGCTTCCTTTTGCAGTCCTACAAGACAAAAACTCGCAGAGGGCTGCGGGGTGGTGAGGCCCTGGGACAATGGGAGGGGACGCGGATGCTGGTGGGAGGTGGGAGCACTGCCTGCAAGAAGCCCTGCTGCCCACTGGACCGCAAGTCACGGGGACTCGGCAAAGCTTTCTGCAGGGACGGGGGAAGCCCTTCACTCGGCTTTTTCCTATACCTGAAGCACTTTGTGCAATGTGAGGGGAAAATCCGTAAAATACAGAGAGAAGGGTGCTGGAGCGACAGCACAGCGGAGAGGGCGTTTGCCTGGCACGTGGCCGACCCGGGTTCGATTCCCAGCATCCCATAGGGTCCCCCGAGCACCGCCAGGAGTAACTCCTGAGTGCATGAGCCAGGAGTAACCCCTGTGCATCACCGGGTGTGACCCAAAAAATGCAAAAAAAAAAAAAATACAGAGAGAAGGGGCCGAAGAAACAGGGTAAGGAGTAAGGCGACTGCCTTGCTTCACGCAAGCAACCAAAGCTCAGTGCACGGCACCCCAGAGCCCCCAAACTCTGCCGAGTGCAGACCCAGAATTAATCCTGAGCAGCAATGGGTGTGGCTAAAAAAACGCACGCACTGTGTATGTGTGTGTGTGTGTGCGTGTGTCTCTTTCAAGACCCAGCCCCCACCCCTCTCACGCTGGGAAGCCACACCGGAGGTGCTACCTACCAGCTGCCGGATGTATTCCTGGATGGAGTTTGGATACACCAGCACGGTGACGGCAACCAAGGCGTTCAGCGCAAAATCAAAGATCTGGTAACAGAAGAACGGGATGATCCAAGAAGCATGTTGCTAAACATCAAGAGAAAATCATACGTTACTGGCTGCAGTGTTACCAGACTTTATTCCGTGGCATCCAACGCGATCTTGTCTTATTCTGGAAGAAACGGAAACGCATTAAAGCGCCAGTCGAGAGCGAACTCAAGGAGCTCACAGGGCCTCGACGATGCCTGGTTCTGGTACCGCAGAGAAGGGACAAGCCAGGTCAGTCCCCAGGGCTCGCTCTGAGTCCGGCTCACCTTGTACGCGCCGTACGTGGCCATGGCACAGATCAGGATCATGAGGATAGAGATGGCGATCGCGATGCACATGTCTGCCGAAAGAGAAGGCACAATCAGGAGCGCGGCCGTGCTTCCACACCCCCCCCAGTCGCTCTCGAAAGCATCAGGAGATTCTTCAAGCCAAGTCACCTCCACGGCCCATTTGGGATTTAATGACAGCCGATGATGATAATAAAGCGGTGAGCACAGCTGGGTGTGCCCCCTCAGGGGGATTTTTAAAAAAAGAAAAAACACTTCGTTTTACGTTTAAAAAAATTTTGGGGGGGGCTGGAGTGATAGCACAGTGGGGAGGGCGTTTGCCTTGCACACGGCCGACCCAGGTTCGATTCCCAGCATTCCATATGGTCCCCTGGGCACCGCCAGGAGTCATTCCTGAGCGCAGAGCCAGGAGTAACCCCTGAGCATTGCAGGGTGTGACCCAAAAAGCAAAAATAAATAAATAAATAAAATTTTTTTTTGCACAAAATTAACCTGTCTCACACAATAGCAAATACTAGTGTTTTTTTTTTTTTTTTTTTTGCTTTTTGGGTCACACCCAGCAATACAAAGGGGTTCCTCCTGGCTCTGCACTCAGGAATTACTCCTAGCAGTGCTCAGGGGACCATATGGGATGCTGGAAATCGAACCCGGGTCAGCTGCGTGCAAGGCAAATGCCGTACCCGCTGTGCTATGTCACTCCAGCCCCACAAATACCTTTTATGTTCATCTGTTTTTTGGAACAAACTTAAGGGCTAGTGACCTTGCTTCACACGGGAGCCCTGGGTTCAATCCTCACCCCGCACTGTCCAGTCCCCCCCCACCCCTGCACCATCGGGAATGTCCCCCCAGACCAACAACTCAGGGAAAATGACAAAGTGACAAAACATCCTGTCACCTCTCACGATAAGACACTATTTTCTGAGGCTGGAGCGATAGCACAGCGGGTAGGGCGTTTGCCTTGCACGCAGCCAACATGGCCGACACAGGTTCGATTCCCAGCATCCCATATGGTCCCCTGAGCACTGCCAGGAGCAACCCCTGAGCATCGCCGGGTGTGACCCAAAAAGCAAAAAAAAAAAAAAAAAAAAGACACTATTTTCTACTGTTGAATGCTGATTTGAAGCATTTTCAAAATTCTACACTTATAAAGGATCATGTGAGTCACACTGAATTGCTGGCAAATACAATTGTTCCGACAAAGCTGGACAGCACAGCCGGGAGGAGCAAACTGGCCCACAGCAACCCTCCGTGAGGGTGCGGAGCACGGGCTGGGGAGGACTCCCAGAGATGGAGACCAGATGTCCAGAACCAACGCCATAGGGAACGCACACCCCCCCCCCCCCCCCGCCAAAATAAAGACAACAAAATTGATTCCATTTTATGTTTCACAGACTGCTGCACATAGGGTGCTGGTTACAGCCTGGGGTTTGGAGTGTCAGGAACTGTGTCTGCTGACCACGGTACAGAGGCAGGGAGCTCGCCTGCACACAGCTGCCCTAAGTTCGAGTGTCAGCACCCTCTCGGTACCTTGAGCCCCGCCAAGAGTGCCCCGAGTGAACCCTGGAGCGCCACTGGGTGTGAACCACAAACAAAACCAGGATTTTTCCAACAGGAACCCCAACAACAAGAGCCCCGGAGGTCACACTGTTCCCCAGAGTAAGTCCCTGCCCTGGTGGCACAGCTCAGCTTGGAAAGCACACTTGGAAACACACCATAGTCCACAAAAGACCAAACTGGAAAAGGTTCCCTGACCCTTGGTCAACAAATCACCGAGATCAACAGGAGTTCCCTATAGGTCTTCTCTTAAACCATCTATTTTTTAGTGGTTTTGGGGGTGCTGGGGATCGAACCCGGGTCAGCCGTGTGCAAGGCAAATGCCCTCCCCGCTGTACTATCACCCCAGCCCCAGAGTCTACGTCTAACTCTGCTCCCCTCCATCTCCTGGATTTGTCTCCTTCACCGGAAACTCGGCACTCACTACCTAATTCAGTTTCCCTCACCTTCCCGGACTAGTCGCAAGTCACGCGCTGATGTCTTCCTTCTATTCTCCCTACGGTCCGGATTACCCCCAGCCACGCACACAATGTGCAGGCACGAGCCAACTCAGCCTCTTCCGTTCATTCATTTCCGGACGTTTCCTTCCTCGGGCCAAATGTGTCTAGTTGATAGGTAAAATGAACTGAAGTGGAAAGACAGACCTTCTGCAGTAGCAGAAGTCACCGAGTGAGCCGTTCGCAATTAGTAAGTGTCTGCTATGCCCAGCAAAGATGCTTCTGGTTGGGGCTGGAGCAACAGCACAGCAGGGAGGGCATTTGCCTTGCACGCGGCCAACTCAGGTTCGATTCCCAGCGTCCTATATGGTCCCCTGAGCACCGCCAGGGTTGATTCCTGAGTGCAGAGCCAGGAGGAACCCCTGTGTGTTGCCAGGTGTGACCCAAAAAGAAGAAAAAAAGCTTCTGGTTAGGGTTCTCTTTGCCCCTCATTAAACTTTCACAAAGAGAACCCCAGAAACTCTATTCTAGGTGGTGCTGTTGGGGCCTGATCTCAACCTCAGCTCCCCTTCATGTGTTTGGGTGCCGGGGGAACCCTGTGGCACCAAGGATCCAGCAGTGCCAAGTACGGCACCAACCTGCCGAGCTCGCCTCTCCCCCAAAACAAGGGTTTTATCCACTGACACTCTGAGTCCAGAGACCAGTTCAACTTTTTAAAAATAGATTTTGAGGCGTCCGGAAAGATGGTGCAGCCAGGTAAGGCGTTTGCCTTGTGTGCAGCTCACCTGGGTCTGAACCCTGGCACCTCACAGGGTCTACGGCGCATCACCAGGAGCAATCCCTGAACACAGAGCCAAGAGCAGACCTTGAACAACGCTCCGTTGTCACCCAAAAACCAAAAAAGAAAGAAAAAAACCCAGAAAACCCACAATGGGGCTGGAGCAATAGCACAACGGGGAGGGCATTTGCCTTGCACCCTGCCGACCCAGGTTCGATCCCCGGCATCCCATAGGGTCCCCCGAGCACTGCCAGGAGTAATTCCTTTCCTGAGTGCAGAGCCAAGAGTGACCCCCTGAGCATCGCCGGGTGTGACCCCCCCAAAAAAGAAAGAAAGAAAGAAAGAAAGAAAGAAAGAAAGAAAGAAAGAAAGAAATTACATCCATTCCAAATGCTCTGGAATATCCACGACGTTACAAAACATTCCTATTTGTTGTTGGTTTTTTGGGGGTGGGGGTGCTGCGCACACTGGCAACACAAGGCTTACTCCTGGCTGTGCTCAGGGGACCATACGGGGTGCCAGGGATGGAGTCCACGTCGGCCATGGACAAAGCAAAAGCTCGGCACACTGGACCATCACTCTGGCGACCATCACTATTTATTTATTTATTTATTTGCTTTTTGGGTCACACCCGGCGATGCACAGGGGTTACTCCTGGCTCATGCACTCAGGAATTACCCCTGGCGGTACCTGGGGGACCCTATGGGATGCTGGGAATCGAACCCGGGTCGTCAGCGTGCAAGGCAAACGCCCTACCGGCTGTGCTATCGCTCCAGCCCCTCCTGTTACTATTTTAAAGCCCAACATGCCAGCAAGAGCTGAATGGCGCCAACACTGTCCCTCGGGGTCCCAACCCAGCATGACCTCTAGCAAATGGGGGGAGAGATAAACAGGGTTAGGAGACTGGACAGAACCACAGGGGTGCCCGTAAGAACCCATTTCTAGCCTTCTGGCCTGAGAAAAGGAAGCCCACTCCTGAAACAACGATCACTGCAATAGTCCTGCCACTCAGGGGAGCCAGGCCTGAAGCAAACACGAATGGAACCACCCGCGAACCTTCCTGGGAATCGAGAGGGACAGAGTTGTCAGGACAAGACAAGGGAAAGGTGGGAGGGAGGGAGGGAAGGAAGGAGTAAAGGAAGGAAGAGAGGGGGAGGGAGAGAAAGGCAGGAGGGAGAGAGGGAGAGGAAGGCAGCAGGTAGGGAGGAAAGGGCAGGAGGGAGGGAGGGAGGGATGGAGGGAGGGAGGGAGGGAGGGAGGGAGGGAGGGAGAGGGGGAATCCTGCAGTTCGCCCCTACTTGATTGGCTCTAGGGTACCGTGAGGAGTGGTGAGTCGCAACCGAAACGGAGCACTTGGGAACTGGCCTTGAGTGGGCTCGCGGGGTGGATGGCACCCCGTCAGCAACTAGGCATTGATTGCCAAGTACAGGTGCCCGTCAGAGGCAGCGGGAGGCAGCAGGGAACTGGGGACACGGGGAGAGGGAAGCAAGTGCCGGTGAAGGGAATGGTGCTGGAACACCGTATGCCTGACACTCAAGCATCAGCTGACTCCTCTGCGGTCCCCTGGGGAGACAGTGGGTACAGCGCCTGTCACGTAAGTGGCCAACCTGTGTTCAATCCCCGGCACCCGGTGAGGTACCCTGAGTCCTGCCTGGAGCGATCCCTAAGCACAGAGCCAGGAGTGAGCCTCGAACACCACTGGTATGACCCCCAAATTCAAAATAAGATAAAACAGCATCAGGGTGGTGCTGGCAACGCTTGGGAGCTACTCCTGGATTGGTGCTCAGGGATCAAACCCAGGAGTCAGGTCCCTCCAGCCAGCCCTCTCTGGGAGCAGACTGAACATCCCCTCCCCTTGCAGGCAGCGCCACCCAAAGGCCACCCAGAAAACGTTCAGGTCCCCCAGACCCCGCGGGTTTCCCTAACAGGACCCCCTGCAAGCTGACAGAGTCTGATCTGCTAAGTCATTTCTCCAGGTCTAAAGAGCTAACAGGCCACGGTGATGGCGCAGCTGATAAGGCACTTGGCTTGCGGCACCCAGCCCCGCTTCGATTCGGTCCGAAGTGATCCCTGAGTGCAGCGCAGGAGTAGGTAGACTCACGAGCACTGCTGGGTGTGTCTCAGCAATTTGAGGGTCTCCCTCCAGTACTGTGCTAGGGAATCCACAGGGTGGGGGACGGGTCCCAGGGCATCCTCAGACAAAGCCCTGTCCTGTTTCGAGGATCAATATTTCTTTTTCCTTTTTGGGTCACAGCTGGTGATGCTCAGGGGTTACTACTGCTGGCCCTCGGCTCAGGAATCACTCCTGATGGTGCTCGGGGGACCCTATGGGATGCTGGGAATCGAACCCGGGTCGGTCACGTGCAAGGCAAATGCCCTCCCCACTGTACTAGCACTCCGGCTCTATCAATACTTTTAGAATGGAGTGAGATAACGATACAAAACAGGCAAGACACATGCAAGGCAAGCGTCCTACCTACAAAACAGTGATTTAAAAATTAGTAATTTGGGGCCAGCGGGCAGGACATTCGCCTTGCAGGCGGCCGACCAGGGTTCTATGCCCTAATTCCCACACGATTTCTGGGCACAGAGCCAGGAATAATCTGAGCTTTGCCTGGGTGTCACACACACACACACACACACACACACACACACACAAATAAAACATTTAAATCTTAGTCCTATACCAAATTCCTCCCTGGCGTTCTCTCTTTCCAGTCAATTTTTTTTTTTTTTTTGCTTTTTGGGTCACACCCGGCGATGCTCAGGGGTTACTCCTGGCTCATGCACTCAGGAATCACTCCTGGCGGTGCTCGGGGAACCCTATGGGATGCTGGGAATCGAACCTGGGTCGGTCATGTTGGCTGTGTGCAAGGCAAACGCCTTACCCGCTGTGCTATTGTTCCAGCTCCCCCTTTTTTTAAAATTCTTTTTGGATCACACCTGGCAATGCACGGAGGTTACTCCTGGCTCACGCACTCAGGAATTACTCCTGGTGGTGCTCGGGGGACCCTATGGGATGCTGGGAATCGAACCTGGGTCGGCCGCCTGCAAGGCAAACGCCCTACCCGCTGTGCTATCGCTCCAGCCCCCTTTCCAGTCAAATTTAAAAAATAAATAAAAATAAAAACTGATTAAGTAAGGTCACAGAGGTGGCTTCAGTGAGTGCACAGGGGGTGCGATCCCGGGCATAACACGGCCTCCCCAGCACCACCAGCTGCAGCCCAGCGGGCCCCAAAATAACCAAACAAAACTGAAAACCAGGTTGACAGAAGACTGTGCGGGAGGGGAAGGAAATCTTAATTTAGACTGCTGCCTTTAGTAGAGGAAAAATACAAGGCAGGACACAAATATCTGTTAATCTGATTTGTATCTATGGAAGGAAAGTTAAGTCCCGATTTTAGTGGCTCCCGGAATCAATATTTGCAACTTAGCAAGAAAAACTAGCAGCCCGGCTCCCTGCCCTTGAAAGCAGCGAACTGGGCTAGAGACCCAACAGGCGGGAGGCGGGGTCCCACAGGCCAGCCCCGCCCGGAGAAGACAGCAGACCGGGCCCCAGTCCCCACGGCCGGTGGCAGATGTACTCACTGGCATCATCCATGAATTCAAACTCCTGCCCGAGCTCCGAGCTGGAGAATTGGTAGTGGTCTGGGTTGGCCAGGGCGCTCAGCAGGATCAGCAGGACCACGGCGTTGACCACCTGTGGAAGGGAAAGGCCGACTGGTGAGGGCTCCCCGGGCTCCAGCAACTACAGGCCGGGACTGAGTGGGCCCTTCTGGGATCAAGGGCGGGGGCACAGGAACATTTAGTGCCATCAGCACGGTCCCACCACAAAGACTCCGGGCAACAAGCCCTGCCACACACACACCTTCCAGTCTCAGGTTATACGATTCCTGCCTCGATGTCCCTCAATGCAGTCCTGCCATAAAACGGCCGAGAAGCTCCTTTCTGTTGCTCCTGTCTGCCTGGTCCCCCAGTGTGCTACGTGGCCGAGAGTCTTCCTGTTTCAAGTGCTCGGTGCCTCTGCTTAGGCCCAATCTCAGCCAACTGCCTCTCTGTGGGCCTTCCAGACGCTCATTGGCAAAACCTCCCTGCTTCCTGGCCCGCGATGGCCTTGGGTGTGACCAACACCCAGAAGGTGGGAAATCCCGCCGACCTCAAGTTTAAACCAGCAGCAGTGCCCCTGCTGGGGGGACACCCATGCAGGTACTCCGCCGACATCCAAGGATCGGCCCGGGACACGGGGCCTCGCAAGTGCCCGCCGTCCTGTTGGGCCCCACGCCCCACGCTCACGCACGAGCTGATGAGCAAAGGCACCTTTGCTCTCCCAGCCAGAGCCCAGCCCGTGTCCGGGGAACTCCAGGCACCACCTCTAGCAGCTCCCGCCTCTGCCCTGACTTTTGGTGCTTGTGATTCAAGGGGACAACATCCGGGCTGTCTCTGAGTCCTGAAAGAACTCAGTTCCTTGGTTATCCCCATTTTACAGATGAGATCACCAAGGCTCAGGAGGTGAGAACATCGCGCCTAAGGCTGAAGGGGTAGTACAGTGGGGAGGGCAGGCACTCGACTTGCAGGCAGCAGACCCAGGCTCCATCCCTGGCACCCCCTAGGCCATCCCCCTCCCCGCAGCCTCACCAGGGGTGATCTCCTAGAGCAGCCCAAGAACCTCTGGGTGTGGCCAAAAAACCAAAAATGGAAAGAAAGAAACCGGGCCAGAGCGAGAGGACCGTAGGCAGGGCCCCTGTCAGGCACAAACATGACAGACCCGGTTCAATCCCTGGCATCCTGACGGTCTCCCCGACACTGCCAGGAATTCCAGAGCACAGGGACAAGAGTAAGCCCTGAGCACTGCCAGGTGCGTCCCCTCAAACCAAAAAGGCCCCAAGGGAACACTGTTCAAGCTAAGGCAGCTCACAAAGGGGTGGGAATCTAGGCGTTCCAACTCCAAAACCCGGGGCTGGAGCGATAGCACAGCAGGTAGGGCGTTTGCCTTGCACACAGCCATCCCGGGTTCGATTCCCAGCATCCCATAGGGTCCCCTGAGCACCGCCAGGAGTAACTTCTAAGTGCAGAGCCAGGAGTAACCCCTGTGCATCGCCAGGTGTGACCCAAAAAAAAAAAAAGCAAAAAAAAAACAAAAAACACCAAAAAACCAACTCCAAAACCCCTGTCGACACTCGCACCTCGTACCTGACTGTTTCCAAGCTCCCCATCATCCCCCCATCTCCCGCCCCTGGCATCCCACAAGCTGCTGATTCTGGCGCATCTCCATTTCACTTTGTCTGTGTATTTTGGGGGGCACAGCCAGCTGTGCGCGGGGCTGGTTCCTGGGTCTGTGCTGAAGAATCACTTCCTGGGGCCGAAGCGATGGTTCACACTGGGCAGGGTGTTGGCTTCGCACGTGGCCAACCGGGTTCAACCCCCAGCATCCCACATGGTCCCCTGACCACCGAGAGCGGTGATTCCTGAGTGCAGAGCCAGGAGGAAGCCCTGGCCATTGCTGGTGTGGACCAAATACCAGGAGGGAAAAAAAGAATCACTCCAGGCACAACTCAAGAGGATTCAAGTGGGCGCTGGGAAGCTAAGCGAGGTCTCCCACATGCAAGACAAACGTCTTTGGGGTTTATTTTGGATTTGTGGGTCACACCCGGCAATACATAGGGGTGACCCCTGGCTCTGCACTCAGGAGTTACTCCTGGCGATGTTCAGGGGACCATATGGGATGCTGGGAATCGAACCCGGGAGGGCCACGTGCAATACCTGTTGTGCTATCGCTCCAACCCAGCAAGACAAGAGGCTTAATCCTGTAATGTCTCTCTCTCTCTCTCTCTCTCTCTCTCTCTCTCTCCTCCTTTTCCATGTCTTTCCTTTATTCCTTAATCTTGGAATGTTTTGGCATTAGACACCCGTGCACCAACTGATAGGGGAGGGTGCTGGTTAATTTTAGAGCCCAGCTTCTTAAAACCGAGGGTCATATGATTTACGTGGGGTTCACCCCCCACACCCTGCAAAAAAAATAATAAAATCTTTAAAGATTTCTTAACAAGGCTGGAGTGACAGTACAGAAGGGCACTTGCCTTGCACGTGGCCAATTTGGGTTTGACCCCTGTTACCCCATATGGTCCCTGAGCACCGCCGGAGGTTATAACCCCTGAGCATTGCTGGTGTGACCCCAGAACAAAAAATCTGCTTAGCTATAAATCTCTTTATGATGTGTCATGGGCTGGAGCGATAGCACAGCGGGTAGGGCGTTCGCCTTACAAGCGGCCAACATGGCCGACCCGAGTTCGATTCCTCCGCCCCTCTCGGAGAGCCCGGCAAGCTACCGAGAGTATTCGATATGCCAGACACAGTAACAACAGAGTCTCCAATGGAGACGTTACTGGGCCCGCTCGAGCAAATCGACGATCAACGGGAGGGCCTTTACCTTTTACCTTTATGATGTGTCATAAGTATATATATATATTTTATAGTATGCCTGTTTTACGTACCCAGATACCAAGGATCATGTAACAGTTTCTCATAGAGAAAGGGGTCACAGAAAATTCAACAAGTCCCATTCCAGAGCACCGAAGTCCCCAAATTTATCTGGTCTATCGCACCTCATTGGGGGGGGATGATTCTACAGCTTAATCGATGGCTGAATAAGTAGCAGTACTCCTACATTAATGAAAAAAATTAAATAAAAATTTCTAGAAGTTATTTTAACACAGTGCTCCCCTATAAGTCCTTTTTCTAGCAAAGTTGCCTCCTTCAGATGCGCTGAGACTAACACCCACCTCCCCCACCCCATTCAGAGTCTGGGGAGGGAGGGGAGGCAACTAGGGGCCAACATCACTTGGGGACACACTGTTCTTGGGTTCAGTAGCTCGGAGCTGTGAGTGGCTTATTTTCCCGAGAGCTCTTGGGGCGGAGAGATGGCACAGCAGGCTAAGGCGCTTATCTGGCACGCAGCCACCCAGGCTTAAACCCCAGGCATCCCATATGGTCCCCCGAGCATGGCCAGGAGTGACTCCTAAGCACAGAGCCAAATAAAAAGAGGTTAGAACTAGGTCCGCAGTCACGGCGTTTTGCCTTGCATCCGGCTGAGCCAGATTCAATCCCAGGTGGGGCTGAAAAGTACGACCCCAAAGAAACAGCCATCAACCGGAGTATGCACACCCAACAACATGACAGAACCACAAGAAACCAGAGTATGCCATGGAATACTCAAGTAGATGCTCCCAGCAGGTGTCTGAATTTCCGAAGACCCAAGGGCCCGGGAAGCGGCGCCGAACCCCAGAGCACTGTGCTCTGCTTGCCCGAGTCCTGGGCTCCACTGCAAACATGGGAGCGGGGGGAGGGGGCGCCCTCTGGGCACTGCTTTGTGCCCCTGAAAGGGGTGGGAAGGTTGGGGAGCCGTGCAGTCGCTCTCCTGGCCCTGCGCCCCTCTCTCCCTGCTCCTGGCCAATCCCATGGCCCGTTCAGAGGATGCGGCAGCAACTCCGCGGGGACAAGGCTGAGCGCAGAGACCCTGCACGCACACGAGGCCCTGGGCTCGGGAGCTGGCCCCGGCCCCGCCACATCCACAAAGACCTGTGCCGAGGAATGCTTTGTAGAACAGCTAATCCCACGCAGGCACACGTCTGGCAAAGACGTTCTCTGAACATTCGATAAACTGTAAATAATCCATCCCGACGTACGTCTTTCTCCTTGGAAAGGGTATGAGACCAACAGTGGACGCGAAGGAGGGCAGCTGGAATGACGTGAGCCTGTTCTGGGGCTGGGAGAGTTTAGAGGGGAGTTACACTGAGCAACCTAGCCACGGGGAGGGCCAGATCTAGCCCGGGCACCGTGTGCTTTCAGCTCTCAGCCAGGAATCACCCTGAGAATCACTGTTCCTCTCCCCCTCACCAGAAAGTCTTAAGTAATTCCTGAGGGCAAAGCCAGGAGTAACCCCTGTGCATCACTGTGTGACCCAAAAAGAAAAAACAAAAAAAGAACACTACAAAAGCAAGATATTTACTGTTAACCTGAGGAGCTTGGGAGAGTTAAAACGGGGGGTACGGGGAGAGAGGGTGTTTGCCTTGAAGGAGTAATTCCTGAGCACAGAACCAGGAGTAACCCCTGACTATCACCAGGAGTGGCCCAAAATGGAAAAAAAAAAAGAGAAAGAAGAAAATGGGAAGCATGGCAGCAAGTGCATCTTATCACACGGATCAGCCGGGGATTTCCACAGCAGAGGCCTGTGCGGGGACACGGATGACTGCGATCATTATGTAAGACCGGGATTGTTAGCTGGGGATCTGGCACACTGCTGAGCGTGCGGGGTGGACCCAGGGGACCTGATGGGCTTTCCCGCGGTTATGAAACACAATCAGGGCAAGGTCAAACGCAGTCAAGGCCCCGAGGATGCTGGGTAAGAAAGAAGCACTTCCCAGAAGACAGAGCGGAAATCACTCAATCACCAGTTCTGACCCAGTCTGAGGCTCGCCACAAATGAGACCCATGTCCCAGCAGGCCAAGACGAGGGCGCAGATTACGCAATGCCCACGGCTCAGCCAAGCACAAAGCAAGCCGGAACACCCGTACCAGGCAGCCTGCCCTGCCACGCCGGAGGCTTCGGCCGACCTGCCCCAGGAATCAGCAGGGAACTCTTCCCTTCGGGGTCGGCTTTTTGGGCCACACACCTGGCGCTCAGGAGTTACTCCTTCTGCACTC